TCCCTCAATCCTCCTCTTTGGACTGAGTCACAAAAAAAGACCAAGTGTGGAGAGAGGGGGTGCAGGGCATACGGGGAAGGAGACCAGGCAGGGCCTGGGGAGGTGGGCAGCTATGTGGGACAGGGTGGAGGGAAGGGCAAAGTCAAGGGGACAGCCAGGGCAGGTCTGGGCAGGGTCCTGGGCAGTGGGCACAAATGTAGATCTGGCCAACAGGCATTCTTGGACACTCAACACCAGAGCTTCCTGAGCTCTGGGTTCAAACTGGAGTCCGAGAGTCAGCCCAGGTTCCCAGAATTGACAGTGTCTGAGGACTGGGGCTACCAGGGACCCTGGGCACTCAGCCGACTGCAAAGCAGCAGCGTAGGACTCGATCCCTCTCGTTCACCCCGGTGAACCTGGTGCAGGCTTAATACACTTTCCTGGTGTTGAGTCCTAAACTCAAAGTGCCACAGTCCTGGTAGAGAGGGAAGTCCTGTCAAGAGCACCTTCAAGGCCACATCTTGTGTTGTGGATGCAGAACCCACAACCAACACCGCCACCCTGCCAGGGTGGCTGCCAGACCTGTGTGTCCTCCCTTCTAGTCAGATGAGACCATGGTATTGTCCTTGCAGCCAAAGGAGGGGGACAGAGAAGAGATGGGTGACCTGCCAGAATATAACTGTCTTTAGGAGGGAGTCAGAGGACGAAGACCTATCTTGAGTTCTGGCCGCTGTGTCTAGGAAGGCCCTTTCCTGGCCACAGACGGTCCCCAAAGTTGCCAGCTGCTGCAGATGGGAGGCTTCCTGCAGAAGGAGCCCGAGGCTGGGAGGGAAAAGCCTTGGTTCTCCTCCTGGCTCTGCCCCAACTCTCCATATGACCTTGAGCATGATCTTGAACATAAGGTCCTCTCTGGCCTCTGTGTGTCCAGTGAGGACCTGGACCCAAACAGCTCGGACAGGGATTTCATCCACGATTTATCCCAGTCTCCGGTTGGACCTGCTCTCTCTCTGTTTTGGTCCATTGGCACAAGGAGGAGGCCAGGCACTGCAAGAAAAAAACAGGCTACAGATCCCTCCCTGCCTGGAAGCAACACCCTCTATGTCCAAGCTTTGCTCTCCAGCCTTGAAATTACCAGAGAGGCAAAAAGATGGAAAGGCCCTTAAGATCACCCAGCCAGGGAATCCGAGACCAGAGAGGTTTGGCAGATTGCTCAAGGTCACACAGCAAATCATGCACAAACTGGAGGTGGGCCTTGGGTCCCCTGAAGGTCAGACCAGGGCTCTCTCCACTGCCTACCCTGCCCTCCAGAATAATAGACCTGGGCACTGACTTACCTTGACACCTCAAGCCCCTACACAGGGAGCCTACAGTCTTTACTGCTCTCTGGGACTAGGTTTCTTTTCCTATCAAACAGAAAAATGGGGTGGACCAGATGTGTCTAGGAGCCCTGCCACCCCAACACTGGGCCTCTAGTGTTGCTGCCTCAGCCCTTTCTTCACAAAGGGTGAGGCCACCCGGGCCAGGAAGTCCTACCAAGTCACAACCCTCACCCAGCCCTGTCCCACCCCAGACCCCAGAGCTGGGTTTTATCCAGAACTACAGGCTCCGGCCCGGCTCTCCCTTGAAGATCTGGAATTTTCGTACCATAAAAGGGCAAGTGTGCCTCTCTCCTTCCCTGCTACCAGCCTCACTGGGGGAAAGGCTGACTATTTATAGAAAACTCCAGGGTTTGCTCCTGAACTCAAGACGGAGCCTGCACCAGGCAGGCCCCCTCCCCACTGCCCTCACCCACCTTCTCTCTTCTTCCCTTTTCACCTGTTGTCCCCTCTTCCTTCCCTTTATCTTCCCCTTTCTGCCTCTCTGTCTTGCTCCCACTCCATCAGTCTCTCTTCCTTTGTCCTGTCTCTCTCCTCTCTGCTTCCCCCTCGCTTCTCCCTTCCGCCCAAATCTTCTGAGTCCCTCCCCTCCCCCATTCCCTTCCTTGGACCTCGTTTTTGGTGGTTGGTGAAAGAAACATATCTGCACCCCCACTCCCTTCTTAAACACTATTTACAACATAAATTCCAAACATCCGCCATCTGGTTCTGGGAAGGGCCAAAAGATATTTGGAAAAGGAAGTCATGATTATTCCATGTTCAAAGCCAAAGGAACTTAAAGGCTCCCCTCTCTCCCTCCTTCCTGCAGGGCCCCTTTGTTAAGATCGGAACCATTAGGATTCCTCCGTGAGTAGAAGGGGCCGGTCCCGGCTGGGCCTCCGACAGACAGCATCACCTTGAGCTCCTTGCTTCTTCTCTCCATGCCTCAGTCTCCTCTTCTGAACCAGCACTAATTAGTGCATGAAACCAGCACTGATGCTCAAAGACATCAAGTCCTGCTGGTCCAGGCCACTTGGGCTGCTTTGCACGGAGCAGTAGGGGTGGGATGGGGGCAAAGGAAGTGAGAGGCAGCTAGGAGAGCTCCAGGCTCAACACGTACTGCCCCATGTCTGTTTGTCTGCCTCTCCCTCTCTCTTACCAAGCAGATTAGGGGAACTGGGTAGGGTCGACCATCCCCCCATATTTGACCCTGGGAGGACTCTGGACACCTGAAGTCCCATCTGCTCCCACCATCAGGATGAGGCCCAGAGAGGGGAAGACACTTGTCTACAATTACACAGCACAGCTGCAGGGGGCCTGGTCCAAAGCCACTGCTCTTCCCATCCAACATGTTCCCGGAGAAACCAACATCTGTGTTATGCAGAGGCATCACTCAGGCCCCGCCAGTGGGGACCCAGGAGTGCCCAGATCTTTGCAAAGTAGACAGAAAGGAGAACTAACCTCTTTATCGTGGGGTCTTGTTTTGTTTTTTAAGCAGACACCATGCAAGGGAGAGATTCTGTGGGAAAGAGGCGTAACAACAATGAAAATGAGACATCCCCTCACGTCTGGACACATGCAGCCCTTGCAGGGCCCAAGTGGCCTCCACTTTCTCTGCTCACAACCCCCTCTGTGTACAGACTCACACACACCTGACAAGGCGCCATGAGATACCGACTCAGGTTGTCACTCTGTCAAAATGATGCTGGGAACTGTCTGGTCTTACAAGGGAGCCATGAAAATGCACAGTGGGCCTCCTGGGGCCACTCCTGACCCTGACACTTACGTAAGTGCTGCTTAAAGGAGTGCCGTAACCCCCGGAGCCTCAGGGTCCTCATCTGCAACAGGGAATAAGAGTGGCACCTAACTCACAGGTGATCGTAAGGAGCAGGTGAGAAGACCAACACAGAGTAAAGAGCTGTGCAAGCATGAGAGCGTCCAGGGAGTTAACTGTCACGCCCAGCCTGTCAGCTGTTCCTTGATCATGCAGGGTAAGCCTGATGGGTGGTAGCTATCATCACCGTCTCCGTTTTCCCAGTTTTTGTTCTCACTGAAGGTCAGGTCATAGGGATACTGGTTCCTACTCTCACTCTCCCAGAGGCCCAGCTACTTCAAGCCGGGCCCCGTCTGAAGGGGGCCCCTCTGTTCCCCTCTTCCGGCCCCTCCCTTCCCCTCTTCCCCCTTTTCCTCATCACTCTCGTTTCCACCTCAAACTGCATTCCCAGGGCTTGCTCAGAAGTCCCCAGGCAGCAACCTTCCCTGGGGAGGAAACGAGGAGCGTGTGAGGCTGGTGAACTCGACTGGGGTGTCAGGGGGATGGGCGGGCACTCGGGAACAGGAAGCCCAGAGAAGCTACACACAGAGCGGACAGGGAAAGGGCCCTCCACGGTGACTCCCACAAACGCCTCCATGTCTTCTCTGGGTGCCACTTCGGGCCTTTGCCCATCCTTCTCACCTCTCCCTGTCCCTGTGCGCATAGTGGAGGTGGCAGCCATTTCTCATAAGCTCACTATGCACCAGCAAGCGTGCTTGCACTTGACATTCTACTTTCACAACTGTGAGGTTGGAAGCCACGGCTCAGAGAGGTGACCCCATTAGCTCTAAGATCAAGCAGCTAGTGAGTGTCAGGGTGAGGCTCCGCTGCAGGTCAGCCTAGCTCCGGGGCCTGGGTCTTTTCTCTTCATTCCAAACACAGTGGAAACCCTAGGGCCCTGGAGCCCAGGAAGCACATCAGCCCTGGTACGTGCACTTGCATCAAGGAGCCAAGGAAGGTCACTGGGCAAGGAAGCCCCTCGTGAAAGAACACGTGGGTCCACGCATCTGCCCGGAGCCCCAGCCTCAGCTCTCCCACAGCAATGCCATCTGGCTCACAGATGGGGCCCAGCCCCGGCCCCAGCCCCTCATGTTTCTTGGAAATGAGCGAGGCCAGAAAAGGGCACTGGGGCTTCTGCAATGACCATGGCGACGTGAGCTTTGTTTGGTGTCCATCGAGCCAGCTGCCGCCCAAGTTCAGGAGACAGCTGGATTGAGCACGAACAGCCTGGGGTTCAGGCTGGCCTCTGGTGCACGCCAGCAGATGGCCCTGGGCACCTGGTGGAGCCTCTTTGAAGATCACTAAGCAGGGAAGTTATTTCTACCTCCAGTGGCGGTTGTGAGTGTCCCGGAGTCACGGGAAGGAGTTTTATGCAGGCTGCAAACTGTGCGCAGCTGGAAGCTGTCACAGGTGGCCCAGGGCTGTCCCTTCAGTCTTGGCCACAGTGTTAACCCCAAGTTTTGATCTACCCCTAAATGGCTCTTTTCCAATGTGTGAGGCCAGAGGTGGGGTCTGAAGGGCCTTTGGGAAATTTCCATCAGCCCATTCTTTCACTGATAGGGCCTGGCTGTGCTTGGAGTGGGGCGGGGCTCCATCTCCTGGAGCTTGGAGCTGCTCAGGAGACCCCTTTTGGAAGCTAGGCAGGCCAAGCGGGAACAATGGCTGCCTGGGGCCTGAGAAGCAGGCTCTTGGAGGCCTGGAAACTCTCAGCAGGTTCAGCCGGACATTTCCAAGGGTCCAGCAGCAACCTAGATCCACCCTCAACCCCTCGGGGCCTGGCATCCGGTCAGAACCCCCAAAGGCCACAGGGCACCCCAGCATCCGCTGACAGGTTGTACCTTTGTCCCTTTCAGGAAAGGACACAGTGGAGCAGGAACCGTCCCTACCACCCTGATGCTGAAGGAACAAGCGCGCCAAGGCAGGGCCTCCTGAGGGTCAGAGAAGGGCAGACACCGGGCCTGGAAGTGCAGCTGTGAGTGCTCCCCACCCACCTACCCCACGCTCACCCCAGCCTGACAGTGCCCCCGTGGTAACACCGGTCCCTCGGGGACTCCCCAACCCCAGCCCTCAGAATGACCTAGAAACCAGGCCTCAGGGTGGGGAGAGCTGACGAAAGGCCCCTACTGATTGGTAGGGGGTAGGCAGTTTGGGGCTGTTGGGTCTGGGTTGTAGAAGAAAACGAGTGAGACCAACGGAGGAAAAAACAGCCAGGGGCCAAATATCCACTCTGCCTCCCGACGGGCGGTGCGAAGCCCTGCTGCCGCAGAGGAGGCAGGACTGGTGGGGAAGGGGCGATGCCCGTCTTCCCAGGGAAGGCACAAGCGGGGCCAGGCTCTGGAGACATCTGGACGCGGGAGAGGGAGCCTGGTGACGACAGAACCAGTGCACAGGGCTCTGACGGGGCCCGTGAGGCCAGGTGTATGTCCCGGTGACCGTCGCGAAACCACGGCCGTCGTTTTTACCACCCATCATGTTCTTCCCATGCTTGCCAGTTTTCAGCGCCCTGCGCAAGGTGCAGGCAGGGTGGTGTACCAGCTCCGTAAGACAGGTGGGCAAACTGAGGCCCGGGGAGATGAAGCAGCTCACTCAGAATGGCACAGATAGTCCACTGCAGACGGGCATCCTCTGGCACCAGATCTCATGACCGCAGAAAAAGTGGAGAAAGACTTGGAGGCGAGCAGAGGAGGCCAGGAGCTGACGCTCTGGGGATGGGTGACAGGCGCAGGCCTGGCTGACATAACGCAGCACACCTGTTCCCCTCCAAACACCCCACACGTGTGTGCAAACGTGCAGCCCAGCACGGCACACACACCCTAGCCAGCAAGCCTCTGAGACTGCATCTAAACAAATTGGATTAGGAGGGCCACAGGCGCCTCCTCCCCCCACTTCTCCTGCTCAGACACTGAGCAGGCCTGCAGAGCTGCCAGCTGCGGTGTCTCGGCCAAGCTGACAGCCAGCCTGCAGCCCCCACCCACCCACCCCCGGGGCCCCCGGAAGACGGCCGGGGTCTGAAAGGATGCCACGATGATGGATGGGCTGAGGGAGGCTCCAGAGCTGGCTTAAGAGCACACAGGATGTTAGTGCTCATGTGAGGCTCATCGCTGAGCTTTTCCCAGCAACCCACCCCCACCTCCCCTCCTGCCCTCCCCTCCCGCTTCTCCCACGGTCTCTGAAGCTGGAGCCCAGGCCCTGACCGGAACCACCCTCATCTTGGTCCCACAGCTGAACTGACCAGGGACTGGCCAGCTCAGAAGGCGATGGCCTGGGGGATGAGACACAGAGGGAAGGAGGAACTTGTGCACAGAAAGAAAATGCCATTGTAAAGGTGGCATCTCGGTGCTTTCTCACCCTTGTCTTATTCACTCCTTAGAGTGTGACTGGCAGTTAGGCAGCTGTGCCCACAGCACAGATGGGGCCCCTGAGGGTCATTTAGTCACTGGCTCCACATCTCTCCCTTCCTGAGCCCTGACTTTGCACCAAGCCCTGGGTCGGGGTGGTTAGGGACCCCAGGATAAGCCACTGCCCCCATTGCTTAATGGAACAGTGTCCTCTGGGCTGGGCATGGGGCACTGGGGCCTCCCTGGTCTTCCGGGGTGTCGCTACAGGAGGATCCCTTCTCCATGTGGTGCACACAGGTAGTTGCATATTGCCACCAAGAGGAGCCTTAGCAACCCTCCCATTCGGGGCACAGACCCCAGAGTCAGACAGCCCCAAGTTCAAATCCAGCCTTGCTCCCTTTTTGCTAAATAGCCGTGGTCCACTCAGCCTCTCCAAGCCTGTTTTCCCTTCAGTGAAAGAGGGACACACAGCTGCCTCCTCAAGGAGCTGACCAGGAGGGTTAGGGAGGGTCTTCCACACCCTCATCCGGCACAGAGAGGAACAGAGACAGGAGTGGGAAAGGCTTGGCCAGGGTCACACCGTGAGCTGGAGGTGAAGCCAGAACCAGGTGGGTTCCTTCCTCTCCACCCCTTGTCCCAATAAAACTCTCCCCATCTGGGCCACTGCAAGCAGCCCAGAGGCCACAAGGAGCCAGGTCATATAAGTAACTGTGGGGACACATCCTGGGCTCCGCCCTCCACCCTCAGCCCTGCCCTGGCCTCTGCAGCCCCAGGGCCCCCAGGTGACCAGCAGTGGCCCCCAGCCCTCATTGGCGGGAGGGTCGGGGAGCCAGCACAGGCTCCCAGCCCAGAGAGGCCTGGCCATATAAGGGAAGGAGCCAGGGAGGCCTCCTGGCTCCAGCAGGCGAGAAAACCCAGACGGCCACTGTTTATTTTCTCCTTCCCAGCCTCCCCAGAGCTTCCCGGCAGAAGACAGCGGTTCCCCCAGGCTGGGATACATTTTCTGAAGACTGTGGGGAGCAGAGAGCAGAAAAGGGCTCATCCTCTGGGAGCAACCCCCCAGCCTGCCCACAGCTGACACCAGGTAAGATGCTGAGGTCACCTATTCAGCTGCCTCCTTTGACAGAAAGGGAAACAGAACTGCAGGCAGGAAATGCACCTGTGATAAATGACTGAGCCAGTCAGTGATAGAACCTGAGTGTCCCAAGTGGCCCCTGCCTCCTGACTAGGGACCCAGAGTGAGAGGGGGCCTCTTGTGGGGTAAGCGAAGTAGGAGAGCTACCGAGGTCCTTCTCAGCGAGGTCTCATTTGAAGGAGACAGGGGTCAGGGCCAGTGCTGTCTGCCTGCCAGGCATGTACACAAGCCTCAAGGGAAGAGTTCCAGGGACTAGGGAGCCAGGTCCTTCTAGCCCACCACACCACCTCCTCCTCCAGGAAGCCCTCCCAGTTTTCCCCAGGGGCAAGAACCTCTCTGTCCTCTAAGCTCTCTCATGCCACCCAGGTCTGTCCCCTGTTTGCCTCGCTTGGGGCATTGTCCTTCCACTTCAGGCTGAATGCACTCCTCCAGGGCAAGGATCCCATCGAGTTTATTCTCATCTTGTCCTTGGCATGTAGATGACAAACTCAGTTTGCGGAATGAACAGGTGCAAGGGTTAGACCCCAAATGCAAAGGATTGGAAACTGGTCAGGGAAGAAGATGTTGAGCTTAGAGTTATAAATGGGGGCCCTGGGGCTGGCTGTCCTGAGTTAGGTGTCCCAGCTTGGCTCCCAGCTCCCTGCCCTCAGAACATTCCCTTCCCATGGAGCCTTGGGGACGGACAGAGATCAGCACAATTAAAACACTCAATAAATGACTGTTCTGAGTGCGGCTGCACCAGAATGGTTTTCCTAGATACAAAGGAACAGAACAGGCAGCCTGTAGCCACAGAGGAAATGGAGGTGAACCCCTCCCCTGATCAGAGGCTGTGCCTCAAGCCCTGTCCCTGCGTCAGAGTGACTCCGCAGGACCGTGGGACTACCCGTCTACTTCCTGTTCCTACACCCAGGAGAGCTGCTACTCCTGCTGCGATATTCTGAGTCCAGTGGGACCGTGGGACGTGCTGGAAATAGCCCTCAGCACTCCCCCTCACTCCGTTCCCGCTGGGCTGTCCCCTCCCCTTCCTGGACCTCCTCGCAGAGGCCAGGAGCGCACCTTACCAGCCTGACACCTCGGCCGTTCTGCAGATCGCACAGGCCGGGCAGGGCTCCCCAGGCTGCAGTCGCTCACATGCCCTTCTTTAAATCTTTTGCCAGATCTGCAGGCAATCGTATTTTAAAATTTAAGATGAATAATGTTTATACCTCACTATAGAGAGTTATGTAGAGGGGAACTGGAAAACAGACCCTAATCAGGAGAGAAAAAAGAACTCAGGTAGCGGGATGAAACAGAGTTACTTCACTTGCCCTGGGGTGGTGGCTGGCCAGGCCCTGGGCCTGCGGCTGATGAGCAGGAGCCAGAAAAGTGTCAGAGACGAGCGAGCACCCAGCTGAGGCTTTGTCCGCACTGGGAGACAGGACTGTGAGCGAATGGACAGACCTGAGTCACTGTCTTCCAAAGTTAGGTAGTGCCGAGGCCACGGATGCTCCGCCAAACCGCTCGCTCCCTGCAATGCACCCGGGAAGTAGAAGGTGGTTTTGATGAAAGGGCTTTGGGGAAAAATTGAGCAGAAGGCAGGGGCTGACCTTATCGGCCTGGTTCCCGGGAACAGATGATCACTGTTCTGGAGCAACCCTTCCTGACTCCTCACTGAAACCTCCACATGGGTCAGGCAAGCATTTTCTCCCCCAGGGCTGGTCGGGGCGTCTGAGAGAGGAGCGCGTGGGCTACCAGGCCTCCCAAGGCTCATCCTGACGTTGGAATCCCTCCCCAGCCAAACGCAGTCCGGAAGGAGTTCCCACAGGAAGAGTCCCATACTAGAGGCAGGCAGAACTTGGCCTCACGAAGGGGCTGCCGCCTCAGGGGGCCTGGGGGACTGACCTACCCCTAGTGGTACAGCAGGGGAAACACTCTTCAGGTCGGGCCTGACTCAGACTCCTGCTAGAAGCATCGGACACACTTTACGTTTTAAGGTTGTGTTCTTCTCGCTCCCTCCCGGCCCTGAGGAAGGGTCGTCCACCCACTTTCCCCCTTTAGACGTCCCTGAAAATGCACGTCATCGGACATGGAGGCCACCACCGTGGGCAACCAGAAAAGCAGGAGGGTGCTCTTGGGGTGTCCTGTGATCATGGGGGGCGGGCAGGAGGAACGCAGAGAGGCTCTGCTAGCCCGGTCTGATGCTCTCCCCCAGCCAGATCTGAAGAGGAAAGGGGACCGCCTACAGGGACATCAATCGTTCACCAAATGGCATTCATTCCCTGGGCCTGTCAGCATGTACAAAGGCCTCAGCAAGGCCCAGGGACAACCCCAAGTTAATGAGATGTGGGTGCTGTCCTCAGGGAACTGGAGGTGCAGCCCCATCGGAGCCATGTGCAAACAGCCTGGGCACTAGCAAGAGAGGAAAGCCACCCAGCCATCCAACAACGCTCTGGGGGTCCGCGCTGCCTGGACCTGCTTTTGGTGGGAGTGCCGTCGACAAGGCCCCTTCCCTCGAGGGCGGGCCATGTGGCCCACGAGTGGAAGTGGGATTGAACAAAGCAACTGTGGTAAAGAATTAGAAAAAGGGCACAGGATGTTTGAGGACATGACCGGGGTATGCTGACGTCCCAGAAGGTCGGGAAGCAACCCAGAGGAAGGGGCCATCGAGCAGACACTAAACCCACAGAGAGGAGAGGGCCAGGGGAGCGGCGTGGCCCCTGGGAGCCAGAGGTGGTGAGTGCGGGCCTCCCTGGAGGAGTGTCCAAGAGGAAGAAGGCGGCTGTGGCCAGGTGGGGCAGGCACCCTGGCCTTTGGTGAGGGTTTCAGAATCAAGCCCGAGGGCAGCGGGAGTGCTTTCAGGAATTAAGGAGGGGAGCAATAGGACCCTATTTGCATGTTGAGAAATTACTCCGGGGGTTGTCAAGGAAGGATGGGTGGGAAATCTGGGGGTTCAGGGTCGTAGAGGCAGGAAGACTGGGTAGGAGGCCACAGCAGATGATCAATCGTATCAAATATCAAATTCCATGACTGCTGCTTGGCTGGGATACACAGAGCATGAAGGAGGCACGTGGGGTCAACCTATTGGAAGACTCCATTTATTGAAACGTCTAGAACAGAACAGGCAGCTCTAGAGAGAAAGAATGTGGCCTGCCCAGAGCTGGGCTGATGGGGATGGGAAGGGCGAAATAGTAAGAGGTTTCTTTTTGGAGGGAGGAAATATTTTAAAATCGGCAGTGGCGATGGTTGCTCAACTTTGTGAAGGTATTAAAACCTCATTTCATTGTGCACTTTAAAGGGGTGAGGGGATCTTCTTGCCATAAAGCTCTCTGAAGAATAAAACAGAAGGCACGTTGAGGCTTGGTCCCAGAGGGCGCTAAAGCCTGGCCAAGGGTGGGGCACACAGGCCGGGCAGGCGGTGGGGCCGAGGCCCCTCTGCCGCCCCTCCCTGGCCGAGGCCGGACTCCCCGCTGCAGCCCGGCGCCCTGTCCCCAGCCTGAGGTGCAGTGCTGCATCTCTGGTCAGTTGGGAGTCTGAGATGAAGCACTGTAGCTCGGGAAGGGAGAAGCTGTTCTGCCACCTCACTCCTGGAAGCGGGAAGAGGTGGTGCTGGGGGCACCAGGAAGGACGGACGTTTCCACTCTCCATAGTGCCAGCTGCTTGTGCGGAGGAAGCTTCCGGACTCACACCCTACCCATGCCACCACCTGCTTCGCGATTCTGGGCAAGTCCCAAGTCTCCCAGGCACTTTGGCCTGTCTGCCTGTAAGACAAGGTGTTGGAGCCTTCAGGGGGGCCTGGCAGGCACCCTGCCTCCACCCCCGGCAGACACTGCTCATCTGCTCAGGTGTCCATCCTTTAGGCGCTTAGACGCAGCTTCAGAATCCTTCTGAGCACTAAGTCCTATGAATGACTCAGCACTGAAACCCACTCCTCATTTGTGGATTGCACCAAATCTTTCAATCCCCCAAATAAAAGTCCTGGGCTTTGGGTCCGGCTCTTCACGCCTAGAGCTCCTACCTGGCTCCAGGCCATGGCCTAACCCAGTCCAGTTGTCTCACATGTCTGATGTCTCTTAGGGGCTTCAGACAAGCAAGAAACAGCCGAGGATAATCCCTGGGCTAAGCACAGTTTTATGTGACCTCCCAGTAAGCTTGGGAGGTGGCAATGTTATTGACCCATTTACTAATGAGAAAACTGAGCTCAGTTAAGTAACTCACCCAAGGTCACACACATTGTGTTGAGTCAAGGTTGTAGCCTAATCTCCCTGCTTTCAGATCTGTATCCTTTGCCCACTACTAGGGACAGGGGACCAGCTGGTGAACATAATAAATCCTGCTCTGCTCTTGCCCTTACATATTGGGTCACTTTTAGCGAAGGCAGACCCGGAGACTTTCCCTCAATCCTATTGTCTGCCTTCTTCCTCCCTCCCCTCCCCCCTACCGCCCCAAATTCTATGTATCTCATGGGGTCCAGTAGCTCCCGCTCTATCCCATTCCACGACTGAAGAAAGCTGAGGTTAAATGCCTTGCGGCTGCAGGTCACCAGCAAGGAAGCTGTCCAACAGAGACCAGGCCCCGATGGGCTCCACTGGTGTAGAGTGAAACCCTCCCTGTGGCTGGAGACTCAGGAATGTGCACAACTCACGGCTGTCCCGGGGAAGGGGCTGGGTTGCAGCCGGTTGCTGCTCCGGGAGGTAGCCTTTGACCACCAGGAAAGTACCCGCCAGGGCACTTGAAGTTCCAGTCGCTACGCCCCCTGGAGCCACATCCTGCGATCCGCGCGCGCATCCGTGGCTCCTGCAGACAGGCTGCACTGCACGCAGAAGAAAATTCCAGCTGGCCCGCAGGGACGTGCCCGGACCCTGGTGCTGAAGGCCTCGCTCTCACCTTGTCCTCACGGTCCAGTTTTCCCAGGAATCCCTTAGATGCTAAGATGGGGATTCCTGGAAATACTGTTCTTGAGGTCATGGTTTCACAGCTGGATCCACCGCCTCCCACCCCGGAGCTGTCCCCGCGGGGCTCGGCGCAAGCACCGCGCTCGGGTCAAGTGGGCCGCTGTGCGCTGGAGGTAAGAGGGCTTGGGGACTGAGTTGACCTTTAAGTTGCTTTTCTTTCCATTTTGTCCATTTCGTAACATCCCTGGGAAGCTGGATGTGGGAGTTTCACCAAGGTCGCCCTCGTGGGAAATTAGTCCCGGCACTTGGCTGAGCCGGGGCTGGACCACGACACCAGGAAGCACCCGGTTCTTCCATCTCCACCGACTCTCGCCACGCTTCCCAGCAGGCCACATGGTAGGGGCCACAGCATCCTATCTACGTGATTGATAAACTCACAAATGCACACAAATGTATTGTAAAGTTTATGCAATCAGTTAAGTAAACTGAAAACTCTAACTCTTACTTCAGTTTGGAATGCAGGCACAGAAAAATGAAAATTTGTTTCAAGGTAGAGTAGACGAAGCTCAGAGCACCCCCTTGAGGGGATGCCTGCCTCAACCCACTCCCGGGACACGGGCTCTCCACACCCTCAGCCCTGCACACCTGCGTGCACACGCACACGTGCACGTGCACACGTGCAGACTGAGACTCCTCCCTCTGCCCCAACCACCTCTGAGCCAGTGGAAGCTTTAGCACCGTCCATCATCTCATTACCAGCGGTGCCTCCACTCACAGTTCTCTTTACTTCCACACCCTGGCTTCTCTTCAAAGCTCCCTGAAGGTCAGGGTCATTGATGAGACTCAGAGAGGTGGAGTGACTGGCCCAAAGTCGCCCCGATAGCAACAGGGAGAGCCAGGATTCATTCCAAGTGCAGTAGCCTATAGCAATGCCTTCCCCAAAAGCAAAAGCTACAAGACTGAAAAAGAAGACTTTCTGGACAGACCTAGGGTGTGCTAATGACTGAATGCTGAAGACTGAGAGTGGTCCAGGTGCCGAACCAGAACTTTCTGCAAACTCTTCCTGGTCTTGTCATGCGGTTGATAGAGACAGTCGGTGCCAGGGCCCCAGAATACTCACTTCGGGGCACGGTCCCCAAATTCCCAGGTGTCTCCCACACGTGTCTCAGACTGTCTTCTTAACAGACCTCATACACAGAGCCTGGAGCTAGCCTGACCATGAAGAGATGTGACTTGGTCCTAATAATGACAATAAATAATGACCATAATAATAATAGCTTCCGCTCACTGACCGCTTACACTTTCCCGGACAGTGTGCTGAACTAACTCTCAAGCTGAAATCAAATCACGTCTGTGTTGACACTTTTCAGCTGTCCCGGCCCCGCCCCTCCCACCGACCTGGGGGGCAGGGCTGCCTCTCCATGACTTTCTCTGGGGGAAAGGGTCAAATATGCAGTGTCTCCTGTGTTCTGTGACTACAATAAAGTGCCGGACCCTCGACTTGTGTCCTGTTTCTTCCTGGGGACACGGCACAGGGTGCGGAGGAGACAGGGAAAGAACCCGAGGGCCTCCGTGCAGTCTGTTAGGCTGATCACAAAGGAGCACAGCCCGGGCAGCTCCGACGGACAGGTCCCTTTCTCCCAGTCCTGGAGGCTGGACGGGACTATGATGGAGTCTCAGGGTCGATTTTTCCTGAGGTCACTCTCTTTGCCTTGTAGAGGGGCTGTCTTCTCCCTGGGTCTTTGCTCTATGCCTGTCTGCCTGCATCCCGACCCCTTCTCGTGAGGACACCAGTCACGCTGGATTAGGCCCCACACTAATAACCTTATTCCACCTTAGTTATCTCCTTAAAGACCCCGTCTCCAAACACAGCCACTGCTCGGCCCATAACACAGCCCCCCCCCAGGTGACCCACAGGTGACTCCACGGGCCCCCACACTTCCAGAGGCCAGCACGGAAGCAATGAGGACCCACACTGGGAAGTCGGTCAGAAGCCCCAGGACAGGGGGCTGCAGCAACAGGGCTGGGGATGCCCCACTGCGGTGGGGGAGGGAGGGAATCAGAGGAGGGAGGTAAGGCCCACGGGGGTGGGACCAAGACAGGAGCTGAGAAGCACTCGGGGCCTGGCCACACAGCCGCTCACCTTTCATCCCCAAGGTGTGACCAACCAGGTTAAATAGGAAAGCATCTTAAATCACACCCCGCATAGGTATTAGGGTTCAGAGTGAGCTCTGGACTGTAGCTGAACCATAGGCGTAATGGCCAACACGCAGGGATATTTGAAACACAAGTACCCCACCTTAGGCGTGACCATCTAAATTTCAAGAAAAAAAAACAATAATCTGACAACCTCTTATACGATGATAATCAGGGTCACAGGGGCTCCCCATATCTCTCCTTTGCGCCCCAGAACAAGCTCAGAGGAGGGCCTGTGAGCCTGCACGTCACAGCTGAGGAGCCTGAGGTCCGGCGAGGGTAGCACTGTGAGGACAGACTCCTTCACGTGCACAAGGGTGCGCATCTGTGCTGCCCTTGCAGAATTTCAGTGTGGAGACCATCCCTCAACACAGCCCTAAAGTAGTAACAGTTTCAAACACATCCCTACATGCTCCACCTTGTGAGGAGAAGAAATGGACACCCTGCCCCTACTCTCGTGGCAAGTCCAGTAACAGGGCCACAGGACTGGGCCCAGGTTCTTCAGGCAGTGGGGGAGGCCTGCACCAGATCCCTCCTGTGAGAGTGGCCACTGGGGACAGTGGCAACAGGGACAAGGCTTGAGCAAGGGAGAGAGTGCCCTCTTGTGGCCAATCCTGGAAAAACATGCTTCCTTGCTTACAAGCACTTTCCACGATCATTATTAATGTTATCAGTAATCATTATCTAACACATTTGCATAAGATCGTGAGTCTCAAAATGCACTTTCTATCCAATGACCTCATTTAATCCCTTCGATGAGGTGCATCTTGTCACCATATGTTTTCAGAGGCCCAGACAGTTTAAGCAATACTTAACTAAAATAACAGTAGCAATAATAGCACCTATGATGTATTGGGCTCTTACTCTGTGCCTGGTGAATTTGTTTTATACATATGACCTGATTTGTGAGATTCATGGTGGTCCTTTTGGAACAGATGGAGAATGGTTCAGAGCCTAAGACATGTGCTTGGGGTCCCCCAAAGCTGCATCAGGCAGCAAGCACAGCCCGCAGCCAGGCCAGCCATCTCCCACACGAGCTTAGAGCCAGCGGCGTCCATTCGGAGCCTCAGAGCCAGCAGCCCCTCTGCAGGGACCATCTCTTGCCCCTCCAGAGATTTTTTTCCTGCTTCCAAGAGAATGGCTTCTAGGCTCCTGGAGAGCTGTCTATCTCAAAGGGCACAGCAGGAAGGGTGCCCTGAAATTGTTGTCAGATGTGGTCTGATGATCCAGATAAAGGCTGTGAAATGGGATGTTCTAGTCCCGGAACAACAAGCCTGAAAGAAAGCGGCTGACTGCGAGGAAGCCCAAGGGAAGACAGAGGACACTCCAGCCTGTGGGAGATCACACAGTCCTGAGGGCCTGGCTGGCAGCCTGTGCAAGCCAAGGTCATTGCTGCAAAAGGGCAGTGGCCTTAGAAAGGGATCCGGGCCTGTCCTTGCATATCAGACCCAGACTGCCCCTCTTCGAGTCTCAGGAGCAGGCAAAGTGGAAACCAGCCTAGCAGGGAGGAAGGTGGTCCAGACTTGCTCCTTTTATGTGAAATATGGAAATGACATTCAAATGAACTCACTCCGGGGCCAGGCAGAGGCATCTCAATTGTACTGTAGCCTGTGGAAGGCCGGAAGGACCCTCAGCTACATTGACGGAGAGACTGTCATCTCTGACCCAGACCATGTGACACTCCTGCATCCCAGAGCTGTGTGTTTCCTTGGCCTGCTCCTCCCAGAACAATTGCTGACAGAGAGGCATGTATGTGTGCTTACACCTCCAGTGACCAGGGCCTCACGACCTCAACAGCCCTCTGCAGGTTTAGCTTGGAGGTCCTTCCCTTGCTGAAGTGAAAGCCCTGGCATTTCCCCCATTCGTTCACCACCCATGAGACTTACGAGCAGTGGTCCTGGCTTCTGTGGGATCCTTCCTCCAGGCTACACATGCCCCAGCCCCTAGAGGACCTCCTTTCTGCACAAACGCGCCCTGATTTTGAGACCCTTTCACGTCCTGGGGCCAGGACCTCTCTGAAAAGCTAACAAAAGCTGTCCGTCATCTCCATGAAAAGAGCCGCGTACCACCCGGCGTGCAGCACTCTCTGTTAGAGGGTCCCGAGCTCCACAGACCTTTCCTTGGTGCGCCAGTTTCTGGAAAGTGGCCGGCCTTCAGGTCTAATCTCTGTATTCAGCAAATGTGTATGGAAGGCCTACGATGTGCCAGGCACTCCTTCGGGGCCGGGATGGAGGTGTGAACAAACCAAGTCCCAGCTCCTCAAATGTGCAGCCAGGAGGGAGACAGATACCACACACATCAGGAAACCAACACGTGGTCAAGACAATGTCAGATTGTGACAAATTCAAGAAGGACAATGAACCCATGAGCTACCGTAAGTAACAGGGTCAGAAGTGTTATTTTAACTAGGGAGGTCAGGGAGGGCTGCTGGGGGTCAGGAGGAGTGACATTTGAGTGAGAACTGACGACGGGAAGGCGGTGGGAACAGAACAGGGCCTGAGGTTCAGGCAGGAGCAAGGGTGGGTGCCAGGACCCTGAGGCAGAAGGAGTGTGGGGTCTTCCTGCAAACAGCAGGCGGGGCTGCAGCCTGGAGAGCAGCGGGGTGTGGGTCAGGGCTGGGCTGGCCAAGTGACTGCGTTTAAGCAAAACGAGTGTGATACAGTTAGACGTTTTAAAAGACCACTCCTAAACAGCAAGGAGGAATCCTATTTTCTTCTCTCTGTAAAGAAACCCTTAATGAGTAGAAAAGAAACTAGTAAAGGTAATTACCTAGAAAAGCTAGATTCCTCGATACTCACATTTTGTGTTGTTTTGCCATTTGAACCACATGTATATGTGCTGGTTTCTTGTGGATGCTGTAACAAATCACCACAAACTGGGTGGCCTGGGACAGGAGAGGTTTATCCCTCAAGGGGCCGGAGGCCAGAAGCCCAAAATCAAGATGTCAGCTGAGCCGTCAGGGAGCTCCTGTTCCTGCCTCTTCCTCTTCTGGTGGCTCCCAGAGTTCCTCAGCTGGAAGCTGCACCCCTCCAATCTCTGCCCCCCACTGCCTCCCCTGCTCCTGTATGTCAGATATCCTCCTGTGTCTATTGTACGAACAGTTATCACTGAGTCGGGGCCCACCTAGACAGTCCAGGAGCATCATTGCAAGATAGTTAGTCACATCCAGCAAGTTCGTTTTCCTAAATAGGGCCAGTTTCTGGGAAACAGCATGAAGACATAGATTTGGAGTGCCATTCAGCCCATCACGAGACCTATTCAGAAAGATCAAAGTGAATTTAAAAATCTGGGTGCAGAAGGCCAGAGGTACCAGGACAGAGGCAGCAGGAGAGGAGGGGGCAGAGGGGGGTGTGTGTGTGGAAACAAAGGCCCACAGGATTTGCAGAGGATCTGATGTAGGAGGGAGGGAAAATCAGAAAGCAGTGTCCCCACACCATGAGCCTGCCCGAGTCTGGCTTGAGCCAGGAGCAGACTCTGATGCCACCGCTGAGGTTGGGGAGATTGAGGGATTCGGGGGCCAGAGGGAGGCAAGAAGGGAGGCCTGGCAGGGAGAGATTTTAGACGTTTCAAGGTAGAAGGTACCATGGAGGTAGCTGGATATACGCGCAGTGAGAGCTGCAAAGGCCTTTGGGAAATGGAAGTCTCAGGTGGTCAACGGGCCCAGTTACAGAAACTCCATCACCTCCCCCGTCTTGAAAGCTCAGCATGTGCTGACCAAGCCCAGGCTGCAGCGGAGTTGCAGAGGTGGCTGTGACTCAGTTGGGGAAACGTAGGTTCTCCCAGCCCACACTTACGCAACCAGTTCTTCGACTCGGCAGGCGACTTCCCGTCTCCTGTGTAAATTTCGGGAGCCCTATGACTAACCTTCCCGCCTAATTCTGCCTCCAGATGAAACAGGATGGAACACTTCGTGCAATCCTCCTTTTGTGGGGGAGAAAATGACTCCTTACGAGGATGCAGGGCCGGCCACAAATAATGTTCTTTTTTTATTACAAAATCTTTTATTACCAAATCATAAGCATGTAATTCTGCAACATAATATCACACTCAAGAATACCATACAACATTTTAGGTGAAATGTGCAAATTAAAACTATAAATTATTACACTCATATTATTATCCTACCAACCACACTCAAGCAGGTGTTACTTTTACCAGACCCTCTGTGTGTGTGTGTGTGTGTGTGTGTGTGTGTGTGTGCACCTGTGGGAATAAAAATGGTCCTGGCTGATGCGGCTCAGTGGATTGAGCACTGGCCTGTGAACCAAAGGGTCCCTGGTTCACTTCCCAGTCAGGGCACATGCCTGGGTTGCAGGTCAGGCCCCCAGTAGGGGGTGCACAAGAGGCAACCACACATTGATGTTTTTCTCCTTCTTTCTCCCTCCCTTTCCCTCCATCTCAGATAAATAAATAATATCTCTTAAAAATAAATGAAACGATGCTAATCCTCACTGAGGCATTCTGCTGAGCACTGCATGCTTTATTTCATTTAATCTTCTCAATCACACTTTGAAGTAGTTGCTACCATTATTCTCATTTTCCAGAGGAAGAAAATAAAGCTCAGAGAGGTTAAGTAACTTGTCCACAGTCACCCAGCTAGTAATTGTTGGGACTGGCCTTTGTGCCCTGGCATTCTGGGCCTTCGGTCTATCGTCACTACTCTCCCCGCCTCCGTTACGCCCACTCGTGGACGTGGCGACTTGTAACAGTTCCAAGAAGGTGCCCACAAAGCGGTACAGTGATTGGCCCGGAGCAGGGAATACACAGGCTAAACGGATCTGCCTGGTTTTGAACTGTCTGCGAGGAACGTGCTTCTTTAATTTAAAATTTGGGCATCTATTCATCAAAAGAAAAATCTGGAAGCACATCCACCAGAATGTCAACAGCACTCCCACCTGGGAACATGGGAAACTGCCTACCTTATGTACTATGTACACCATGTAACTCAGTGTTGTTTGAACTTTATGCAGTGAGCATAGCCTGCTTCTGTAAGCAGGAAAAAGTAATTAAGACTTAAAAAAAAGAAGAGGAAAGAAAAGAAGGCTAGAAGGAGGGGGGTGACTCAGCAGCTCCTCCGGGATTCCCAGCAGCTCCCGTCGAGGCCCCGCCCACCTTCCCCAGCCCTTCCCCACTGCTCCTCCTCCACCCGCCTCCCCTATTACACATCCTAACCAGAAAAACCTGTACCCGGCCTGGTGAAGCCTCCGTCCTGCCTCGCTCTCTTCCCAGCCCCCAGACTAGGCCATTGCCAACTCAGACCCCACAGGACCACAGTGTCCCCTCCCCCCATCAGCTTTGTAGTTTGCAGACACCTTCCCAGACCAGCTCACCTGTAATCCTCCCAGCAACGCTGCAGGCTGGATATTCTCATGCCCATTGTACCGATGGCAAAGCTGAGGCTCAAACAAGCTGAGCTCCTTTCCCAAGCTCACGTGGCCCGTGACTGTGCCTGAGCCCGAATTCCCAGGCCAGGCCTGTCCACCCCTGCATCGGTTCAAGCTTGCATCAGGAGCTCAAGCTGACCTGTTGAATCTCGTTTAGCCCCATGAGAGAGCAGCCATGTTCCTGTTCTCTGAAGAACCCAGCCCCACGGCACCCTAACACACTCAGCTCAGCTAGGTGCCTGAGACTCCCGGAGCCTCACCCTGCACAGCCCAGGCCCTGGGGCTGAGCCTGGAGGGAGAACAGAGCAAAAGGTCCTTCGGGCCCGGCTGAGGAGAGTGGGAGGAAGACTGGAAAGGGAGCAGGCAGCCATCTCGATCGCAGGGCAGGAGCAGGCAAACCCTGCAGTGTGGGTAGTGGGCAGGGCGTGGGCTGGGGCAGAATCCTGGACTTGCCGGGAGTGAATCGATTTGCTCAAGCCAGTTCAGTTCCTTCTGGTGAACATTCGCTGAGGACCCGCTGTGCCAGGCCCTGGGACAAGCCAAGGGGATACAGAGATAAAGTGGGCCCAGCTCCTGCCCTCACTTGGCTGGCAAGCCGTCAGGGGAGGCCAGCCCAGAAGGAAGATGACCGTTCATTCCCGCAGGCCTACAGTGTGCAGGAATAATGATTGGGATGCGCTGGGCCGCACGGTGTGGGGTCTCCAATGCCAGACTAAGTGGTCTGGGTCTTTTCTAGTCTGTCTGGGAACCACAAGAGATCTCAGAATGTCCAGCCCAGTCATCTCACATAGAAATAGAATCTCGGGCCCCGCCAGGTGTGGCTCGGTGGATGGAGAGCTGGTGAGAGGGCACCTGTTTGGTTCCCTGCCAGGGCACAGGCCTGGGTTGCGGACCGGGTCCCCAGTTAGGGGCATGTGAGAGGTAACCGACTGATATTTCTCTCACACATCAATGTTTCTCTTTCTTTCTTTCTTTCTGCCTTCCCTTTCCTCTCTCTAAAAATAAACAAAATTGAAAGAAAGAGAGGAAGGGAGGAAGGAAGGAAGAAAGAAAGAGAAAGAAGGAAAGAGAGAAAGAGAGAAATGGAGTCTTGGGCCCTGCGGTCTGAGGCCCCCTGAGCCATCACTGGGGCAGGCACAGTGGGGGAGGGGCAGCGCAGGAGGGCAGGACACAGATGCCTACCCCAGGGGTGGGACCGTCTCAGCCACAGCAGGGTAGCAGGGGGCCTGGGTGAGGCCTGCAGAGCAGACAGGAAGGGGTTCAGTTCCAGAGAAAGTAGCAGGCAGGGTTAACTGGGGCTATTTGGGAACTGGGGCCGATCGCAGGAGTGATTGCACTTTCTTTTGGCTTTTCTATGTTTTCCTTTCTTTTACACAGTGACGAGAACAGGCGGCCAAGCTGTCATTGTTTGGAAGTTCTGGGAAGGGAATCAGGTAGCCCTGCCTTACCTGAGGGGCCCAGGAACAGCTCCTGGGTAGGTGGGAGTTGGACTCCTGGGTAACAGGCTTGGTCAGACATGGGGAGCCTTGGCCTTGGGCAAATCTGGCCCCTCGGAACGGAGGTGTCCTCATCTGTCCGGGGAATAATGTTGCTGTGGCAGACAGTGGGTGGAGCGGAGGCGTCTGGCCTGCCCCGCCCCCCGCCCTTCGGCTCCCAGGCGCGTCTGAGTCCACCGCCTTCCTCCCAGGCGTGGGCCAGCTCAGCACAATCTGGCAGGACCAGCTGGGGCGCCCGGCAAAGACAGGCTGGGTTCCGGCTGCTGCCTGCCTCCCCAGCCCACCCGGTTGCCCCAATTTGTGGACAGCCTATTTCCCCTGGGGCAGCCCAGTCAAATGAGCAAGTCTCTTGCTAAGCAGAAAAAGGCCAGGACTTGCTCCCGAGTGAGGCCATTGCAGAGCAAGCCTGGGCTCCTGGAAGGCTCTGGATGAGCTCCGAGACCCCTTCTCCGGGCTTCGGTTTCTCCTTTGCCTTCTGAGCCAATCCACGCATTCGTTTTCCCTTCTGCTGAGGATCAGACCTGCAGTAAGCATCAAGGACACAGCGAATGCCCTCCCAGGCCTTGGGGGGAGTCCGGCCGGCAGGGCAGGGGAGGGGGCTTGGCCTGGGGAGCCCGCAACCCGCTGTGGCAGGAAAGCTGGAGGGGAGACTGCTTGGCGTGGCCAGCGTGCAGGGCTGGGCTTCCCTCTGCGTCCACCCTGGAAGATGCCCAGAAGGGGGCGGCAGAGGGCAGGACGCAGGGCAGGGAGCCTGTGACCTTGGCAGTCCAGGGAGCCCCAGAGGCCTGGGGATCTGCGTGTGAGGAGGAAGTTTCACAAGTGCCTCTGGTACATCGGCACCCTCTCACCTGGGCCCCCGGCAGCCGGCCAGCGTGCCCGCACTCTCCAGTCTCATGGGAGCCCCCCCAGGGCAGCCATAAAGCTGCGGAGGGCAGTCCAAGGGCGAGGGGAGAGCAAACAACCGTGACCAGCCCGGACCATCCGTCAGGACGGGGTCAACAAGTCAGAGGTGCGGGCCCCCTGCAGGGCCATTGCCCAGGTCTTGACATGACCCCTGCGTGTTTTCTACAGACCACGCCGCTGCTGTGGGGAGGCTGGACTCACACGCTGACTCAGACACTTGAACGCACACTCACGCAAAGTGAGAGTGTACTTGAACGCTGTACTCACACACTCAGAGACACGTGCACCAGCACAGTCATGTCCTAACACACACACATTTCATGAGCATACTTTTACATGCTTTTACACAAACATACCCATACCATGAATGCACACCCATTTTCACACCACACACCCACAGCACTCTCACACTCACACTTGTGTACACACACAACTCAGACACATCCATGCTCTCAAACATACTGATGCACACCCATTTCCCACGCAGCTCTCATAAGTACTCACACAGAAAACATTTACATCTGTTTGGTCACTCACAGGGGTGAGTACCCACACACCCGCACACCCGCACACTCGCATGCAGGGGACCTCCCTGGAGGTGAGCAGCTGGAGCAGGTGAGGCTGTCCTCTCCGGTCCCTCATGCTGGGGTTCCAGAGCTAATCCAGCTTTCATGCACCTGTGACCCACTGCCTCCCCCCACTTCCCACAGGATTTGACATGGTGGTTTAGTCTACAGGGGTGTCCGACATTTGGCATCTCTGGGCTACACTGGAAGAGGAATAGTTGTCTTGGACCACACGTTAAATGCATTGTGACATGTAATTACAAAAACATCTCAGAATGTTTTAAGTAAATTTACGATTTTGGGCCGCATCCACAGCCCCCCTGGGCTTCCTGTGGCCCGTGGGCCTCAGTCTGGACACCCCTGGTAAAGTTTAAGTAAAACAGGATAACAAAAAAAAGAAAACTGGGTGGTAGAAATATTAAAAGCACAACCCTTATTTCTCCAGGGCCAGGCCTTCAAAACACATACGGGTCTGTGAGGTTGGAGCCCCAGGCCCAGCAACGGCGCCTCACGGCCACCCCACTGTCCTCTGGCCCGTGGGGACCTCTCTCTCCCCAGGACTTGTCCTGAGGGGGCTGTAGAAGGGCTTCCTCCCTGCCAGCCTGTTCAGCTCTGCCTGGGGTGTTAGGGCGGCCCAGTGTCCACAGCTACCTCGCATGTGCGGAGGCTTCAGGTTTGCAAGGAGCTTTTGGTTCTGTGATGCAATAATATACCACACCTCGGTGCTGCTTGAGACACCTGGGATATATGCAGTAAGACTTCCTCACGCCTGCAACTGAGACACTGGAAAGCTTTCTCCAACCTTCTCCACTTTCATAATAGTAATGCTAATAAAAATAATGGCCCCTTCACAGAAATGTAAAGGAACCCATGACGTACGACACGATAGTGCAAATTAAAAACAGGAGCAGAAGAATAAAGAAAAACAAAGGATCATAAAACTTAATCAGCCAACAGATGAGAAAACATCATAGATGCACAGAGAGCGACCAGATACTTTGCTGCCATTTCTCAAGTGCTGATTTTTCACAAGGCCCCGAAATAAGCAGGGGGAGCTATGTAATTAAATCTTCATGAGTACCTTGCAAGTTAGATATTATCACCAATTGCAAATGATGGCAATGAGCCTTCAGGAAATAAGGACCCTTCCTAGGCTCCCACTAGCTTTAACGGTAGAGTCAGCTCCTTGACCGCCTGCCCCTGCTCAGCCCTCAGACAGGCTGGCCCTGTAGCCAGCCCTTCCCTGCCCCTCTTCTCTTCCCTCTCCGACAGTTTGCAGAGTCTCCTCCTCAGCGTCCCCCACAGTTTAGAATGAGGCCTCTGCTCAACGCCTGCCTCCCTCCCTGAGGCCGGGGGCTCATCTGCCTTATTTGCTGCTGAATAGGCAGCACCTGGGAAAAAGCCTGGCAAATTCAGGGGCTGACGCTTTGGCAAACGAGTGGCCCCCGATGTTCGTAGCCATTAGAGCACCGTGCTATCCTGGGAGAGCTCACTGAGGCTTGATTCCTGGAACTGAAGGGTCCCTCGGGCTCCCTTCATCCCATTTCTGCCTCACGGAAAGGGGAAACTGAGGTCAGAGAGAACAAGGGACTTGCCAGGGTCCCCCAAGGGTTAGACACAGAGCTGTGTGGGAGAGCGGGTGCTTGCTCCAGGCCAAGGGCAGCCCCAGCTGGGTGAGGTTTATATCTGTGGAGGGACAAAGTGAGGCAGGACAGCCCCCATGCAGCTGGGAGGAGGGGCTGCCTAGAACAGTGGGTCAGTCCTGGGGAGGAGGAGGTCGGGGAGGAGGTAGAGAGGCCTGCCAGGCGGGGAGGGCATTGCGCAGGGGCCTTGCTGGGTTTCCTCCCTGCACAGGGGAAGTAAACACATTCCTTGGGCAGCTGTGCAGGCATCCCCCAGCTCCGTCCGCCACACCAGCTGTTGAGCTACAGAGGGGAGGGCCCAGAGAGGGCGCATGATTCACTTGGGGTCAGAGTGGTGTGTGGTGGCTGGTACCCTGGGCCAGGTTGCCTCCTGAGAAGAACAGAGTGTCTCTCTCCCCAGGAAACCTGTGCACAGGCCCAGGGACAACTGGGCTACATCTCAGCCAGGCAGGGTCTCTCTGAGGATCAGCACCTGGTCGCCTCCACTGGCCAGGACAGAGAGGGAAAAGGCAGTGGGCACCCGACCTGCACAAGGCAGGAACGGCTTCCTGTGGTGCAGACGGACTAACCAAGCCCCAGAAGGGTGTGGGCTTGTCCCAGGTGCCACGGCAGGATTGTGACTAAGCCAAGGCCAGAGCCCAGGTCTTGTAGACAATGGTTTCCTGCATCCTGGCTGCCTCCCAGCCCCTTCAGCCCTCACCTCACCCCTCTGCTGGCCCTCAGCACATGCTCAGTCTTCTGCCCGCGATTCCCTCCTTGAACTTGCCTGACCCGGCAAATTCTTACCTGTACTTCAAAACTGTCTATCTGAGCTTGCCCAGCACAGAGACCAGGCAGCCTGGGGCGGAGCGGGCCCCAAGGAGCAGCAGTCCTCTGTCCTCAGAGGCCGGCCAGGCTGCAGGCGCAGCGGCTCTGAAACCTGCTTCTTGGCCGCAGCCAGGAGTGATTCACTCGGAGTGGAGGGACAGGAAGGCTTGGCTGTTGCCCTGTGTAAAAAGTTTGAGGGTCATGAAAAAGTGCTTAGGATCTGGACCTGCAGACTTGGCCCTGAGCAGGGATGAAGGGAGCTGTCAGCCCCTCAGGGGCACATCATGGAGGCTCAGGCTCTGGAGTCTGGAGTTAGAACCGCAGAGTGGCTATAAAGTTGGGTGTCAACTGACACGTGCAGTTGATGGGCTGCGTGGGGCGCTGTGTTAAGGAGGATTCAGAGGAAGGGAGTCTGGAGGTAGACCCACCATTGATTTGATACCCCTGCGCTGAGATGTCTCTGAGGGCCCTGCCTGTCCTATGATCTGAATCAGCAGCTCCGTGGGCAGCTCAGGGCAGGGCCTGAGGGCAGGCAATGGGGCTGTCTCACCCCTCCAAGCCTCTGGCAACCACACTCTCACATACATACATACAGGCACACACCAGCCACTCACAGGAGATAAGGGCCCTTCCCAATCCAGTGGTCGCTTCATCCCTCCCCACTCTGTTGGCCCCAGATAAACTTTCTCTCCAGCTTATTCCAGCCTCTGCTTCTCCTCCTGAGTCCCTGCTGCTGCTGCTGCTGCTGCTGGCTTGTTGCTGCCAGGTCAGCACAGAACAGACCTCAGCAGGGCATTAGGCTAAGCTGCTTCCTGCCTGCTGCTGGGAAGGGCTGAGAGGGGTCAGGGAGAGGGAGGAGAGGAGGGCTGGCAGGCTGAAGTCCAGACCTTGGGCTGATGATAAGCAGCGCTGGTCATTGCCCTGAGAAGGATTTTCCATTCCTGCTCCCTTCCCTCTGCTGAGCGTGGCTCTGGTTCCTCCTCCAGCGCCATCTGTGAAGTGGGGAAAGAGTACCAAATTCATCCTGACAGGTTAAGGGATTGTCCTGGGCTGACTAGAGTCCCCCCAGAATTCGTGTTCACCAAGAACCTATGAAGGTGACCTTCCTTGGGAATAAGGTCTGGGCACATGTACTCAAGCTAAGATGAGGTCATGCTGGATTAGGTAGGTGCTGTGACTGGTGTCTTCACGGGAAATTTGGACCCCGAGGCACAGACAGCCACAGAGAGAACGCCGTGTGAAGACAGCGGCAGAGGTTCGAGTCGTACTGCCACAAGCCAGGGAACGCCAGAAGCTGCCAGAGAGGGGAGGAGCCAAGGAAGTACTCTCCCCTACAGTCTTTGGAAGGAGCGTGGCCCTGCTGGCACCGTGATTTTGGACTTTAGGCCTTAAAAGCTGAGCAAGGCTAAATGGCTGTTGTGTTAAGCACCCAGCTAGGAAATTACCACAGGGGTGTCCACAAGCATGTCTCGGCCACACAGTAGGCCCTCAGTAGAGGGGGCCCGCACAGCTGGCCCTGGTGTGCTCAGTTCCGGCCCGCCTCTCTCCTCCAACCCTGTGCCCCAGCCCCCAGCCGTGGTCTTCCTGACTCACAGCCCAGGGTGCGTCCCTCCCCGTGGGCACAGGTTCTGTGGAAGCCTCCCCAGCTGGCTGGCAGGGAGCAATCCAGGCGGGCAGGGAGGGTGAAGCCAGACCCGCGAGGGTGGACGTCAGTCTCATCGAGGCTGGCTGAACCCAGGCCCAGCGAGGACCGGTTTCCCACAGGGCGAAACACAAAGGGGGCAGGGCCCTCAGCCGCCGCTGAATTCTATCCAGATTCTGTTACTCTGGACTCCGAAGTTCAATTGGGTAAATGCGAAGGTCTAGTTGGCTTTATTAAATGATTTGTGAATCCGGGAGCTTACTGCTTTACAAGTGGAAGGGCACTTCGAGGTCGTACAACTTGGAAAGGTTTTACTGGCAGAAAGAGGGTGGGACGAGACAGAGAAAAGAGGGATTATTTCAGGCAAGGTCACCTCCCCGCAGGGGCAGGCAGAAGGTCCCACAGAAAGGCAACCTCACCAGTGCTGACAGGACATTCCAGACTAATTGGTTTAGAATTCCACTCCTGCCAGCGGCTGACACTGCTGCTGGTGCTTAGCAGAAGTGACTCCATTTCAGGTCTGTTGTTTCTTTTAACAACTGTAAGTTCCACGAGGGCAGGGGCCAAATTCGCCCCACACCTTCAGCACCCGGCAGGAGTCCGGCGTTTAGTAGCAGTTACTGTGTGCCGGGCCCCATTCTAAGTGCCTGTATTTGTCCCTCACGACAATTTTGTGAGGTCGTCCCCATTTTGCAGCTGAAAAACTGAGGTGCAGACAGCCTACGAGACTTGCCAGAAGTCTCACTATTGTTAAAAGGATTCAAATCCAGGCAGTCCGGCTGGGAGCCCTGGCTTTTATCTGCTTACTCTCAATATTTATTGAGTAATGAAAGGCCAAAACCAGACTGCAGTTCGCAACAAATTGACGTATGTTATCTTAAGGTCTAGTCCCCACCCCGGCTGAGACCTGTCTCCAGACCCCCGACTGAGGGCAGCTGTCACAGGGAGGAGGCCACAGTCTCCCCACTGTGGCCCAGAGAACTGCACAGGTTCTAAATGGAGTTGGCTGTTCCTTCAATCAACGCCACTCCCTCCTCCATCTCACTGGCCTACCTGCCCCCAGTGGGAGCCGCCGTGACACCTGCAGCTGGAGGCTGGGACCAGCAGGCCTGCCGGGTGGCCCTCACCCTTTGGCCCCGGTGCAGAAAAAAATCCCTTCAGCCAGAGCCAGGTTCGGTGGATTACGGAACCCTAATGAGCAGAGTGGCAGACGTGGTTTTTGTCCTCTCACACCCTGCCCAAGGGGACTCCCCAGGGCACTGGCGTGTCGGCTGCAGGAATTGAGGGGTTGCCTCTCCTGGCTGTATCATTAACCCACTCAGCTTCTCTCCTCTTTCTCTCCCCACTTCTCCGTGATATAGCTTCTGTTTTTGTGATTGACTGTTCTACTTTTGGTCTTGAATTCACACGCCCCAAAAGGATCTACTTGGTGCAATTAATTTTCCCACCAGGCCACCTCAAAGGCTGGTGAATTAGTCTATGAGTCGAGTCCCCACTCGAGGTCCAATCGGCTGCCGCCAGGGCAGTGGGGTCCCATGGCGCCAACATGACTGCCTGTGAGGAGGATGTGGGAGTGGCGGGCAGGCTGAGACTGGCTTGGACGAGGCGCATCCTGAAGCTCATGCCGTCAACTGTCTCCTTCGTCTCTTAATTCTCCTTATACACCGTAGAGCCCAGATCCCTCTCATGGACTCCCCGAAACCCCAAGAAGGGTCTCCGAATTGCCCCGTAGACTACAGCCAGGACGTCAGTTTGGCGCAAACCCACCACTTCTTGCTCTGTAACTGTGGCAGGTATTACAAATTAATCCTGGCACTTTGCCCAGGTCACTGAGCTGAGCACAGAAAGAGACAGACTCAGAATCAACCGTGCGCTCTGGGAAGCGGTCGACACCAGATTCCTGATGACATGGAAGAACTGGATGGGATGGGACCGTCTCAGAGCCGCCCAAAGGCCCTGGTGTGGCCTGAGTCTCAGCCAGCACCTCTGTCTCAGCAGAATGCACGGCCCAGGAGGGGTCAGCGACCCCAGGGAAGGTTCTAAAGGTGTATAAGCCTTAGGGTCTTGGCGGGGGCCAGGCTGTTGAGGGTTTGCCCAGGCGAAGAGCTACGCCGAGGGTGAGATGCTGACTCACGCTCTGGGTTTGAAGTTCATCACCTGGTCTCGTTCTGTCAGTCTCTCCCGTGAGTGAGTCACACAGGCAGCCCTCCCCACACCACGGAGCTGCTCCCCAGCCGCTCACTGAGGCCTGTCACGTGCTTCGAGAAGGTACCCAAACATCACCCTGTTGGGGGGGGGCCCTGAAGGCACAAGGGACCGGGGTGTCTGTGTGCAGGGCACCCACAGTGTGCAGTGGGGGCCATTGGACTTCGGGAGACAGCAGGGCTCCTCAGCACCTTGGCGCAGGCCTGCGATCCGAGCTTCCCAAGCAGGGCAGAATGCGCAGGGATTCCCTGAATTATTGGACTTATTTTGACAGGTGGGACTAGTAGGAGTTTTTAAAAGTTCACCCGCCTGTGGAAGGAGGCAGAGAACAGACCCCCGGGAAAGGGGCCAGGAGTAAGGATTGGCTGCAGTTGGAAGGCCCTTGGAGGAGGAGCTCGGGGCTCTGTGCCTGTTAGAAACCAGAGCGTTTAGGCGCCTGGATGACTCGTTTGCCACCTGAGGCCCCAACTAACCCCACACAAAGGCAGACTCCAGAGGGGTTAGTCTCCATGGAAGAGGCCTAGCTACACGGTTAGAAGAATGAAATGAGGGGAACACCTTTGTGACCCTGAGGCAAAAAACAACTCCTTAAACTGAACTCAATGGGCATTTGCTTATAACAAAATAAGGATTTGAGTTCCATGAAGAGCACCTGGAGGCAAGGGAGTAGACGAAGGAGACTCGAGGAGATGTATGTGATGTCAGGATCAGAAAGGTGCTAACATGGAGAATACACATGAAAACCCGGGAGAAACACAGGGAAGCCAGATACGCAGCCTCAGAGAGCTGAGCTCAGAGCCCTGGTGGCCCCCACGTTGCACTCCAGTCTCAGAGTCTCCCACATTCCACTCTTGGATATTAGACAAGGTAACCTATCTTGAGTCATCCAATACGACAGCCTCTGGCCTGGGTCAGTTTGCAGCTCCTTCCCCGGCCACGGACTGAGGCCTCCTCCTTGAGGCCTCTCGGGAGCACAGGGAGCAGAGAGAAGATGCGGGTCTGGACCACGCAGCCCCTCTGAAACTCTCCTCCTCCCGCCTTAGCTCCTCCATCATCCCAGCCCTCTCTGCCTACGGCCCTGGCAGAGGCAGAGTCAAGCCTCAGTTTCTTCACATCCATAACATGTGGAGAATAAAGGTCCCCACCTGGAATAGCTTGCCGGGGCTATTTTAGTAAAGGACCACAAACTGGGGCATGGGGAGCCTTGAACAATAGAAATTCTACTCCTAATTCTGGAGGTTAGACATTTAAAGCCACAGCGATTCCTTCTGAGGGCTGTCAGCGAAGAACCGTCCCAGGCCTTTCTCCTAGCTTCTGGGGCTTTGCTGGCAATCTGTGGCAACTGTTGTTCTTTAGACTCATCACCCCAATACCTGTCTTCATCGTCACATGACCTTCTCCCAGCGTGAATGTCTAAGTGTGCAAATTTTTCCTTATTATAAGGACACCAGTCATGTTGGATTAGCGCCCACCTTAATAATCTTAACTTGACTGTGGATGAAGACCCTATTTCCAAAGATGGTCACAGTCACAGTTACTGGGGGTTAGGGCTTTAAATTTGGGGGGGCGGTGGACGTACAATTCAACCCATAACATCACCTCCCAGAACTGTGGAATGGACTAAAGGAGCTAATGCGTGAAGTGCCTGCCACACAGTAATCGACAAATGTTCTTTAATGTTATGTTGTTATTTCACTGCAGAGTGGCTGCCAGCATGTCCTGCAGGGTGAGGTGACTGGCCCAGGGACAGTGTGCTGTATCCCTGGAACGTGGCTGGTGGTGGCTCCTGAATTCACTGCGAGGCTGAACTTGGGGGAGGAGGGGAGTTAGCACGCTCTCTGAGTCCCCCTTAATGTCCGACTCCG